AATCGAACTAGTAAATCTCTGTGTGAACGATACTTGGACTCTAAAATCAATTTTATTACTTGAACGATCCGTACACTTGCGGTAGTTTTTATTCGAAATATATTTTCGATGAACAAGTACCAACCTTATTTCATTGGTGATCCATTAAGTGAGGGGTAGGTCCTCTTCCACGTTGTATCTACAAGGGTTGAAGACACATGCTGGCTCTATTTTGATGATCAATCAACTCCTCGTTGATGATCTCAAGCCTCATCATTTCCAACAAGGCGTCGTAGCTAACTCGTTGGGGCCGCTGCTCATGGAGCCTCTTCATCAGGGTCTTCTCTTACCCTTTTGGGAGGGACATCACGATCCGAACTCATTTTTCTTTAACTAAACTATCAAATTTTTCCAACTTTTGGAGCTTCTTCTTGTTCTTTTCAATAACAAACTCTTTTTCACTGGGGATGTCCAATTATTCTCCGGTGAACTTTTGCCACGAGAACGTTCGTGGTTATTGTAAGGCTTCCTGCAGACGACGCCAATCTGTTGAACTCGTTTTTTGCACGGTTGACGTGGACAATAGATACCGTGTCCACTCGCATTCTCTTAAGCTATTTTTAACACGCGTGGGACGATTGTCTATCGACTATAAACATGGTATGAACATGTGAGAAGTTTTATATCATGAGACGAAGATATTCAGGCTTCAGTGAAAGATATGGATAACTTACACAATAATGAATTATAAATTAAGAACCAAACTCACAATCAAGATCGTACTTCAAACACTAAAAACACTATATTAATCAGAAAGAAAGAATATATATATAATTTGTAATAAATACTTTTTCATTATCCCCAAATGGCACAAATAGAGATATATTTATAGTGTTACATGTGCAATAGTAACCATTGGATGAGAGGACACGAGGCTTCACCTTTTTTTACTGAAGCATCACATTTTAGGTATCAATTTTGACTCCACTAGCCTGAGGCGAGTTAAATGTCCCAAAAAAAGACGGTCACCACATACCCTATACTGACAAGATTGACATTTTTACTCATTACAACTGTTCAATCAATCATTCTGAAGGGATTTCATAAATTTAAAATCTTCAAACGTGGAACGTCATCAGCCGGAGTTGAGCCTCATATTCTTCTTTGTTAGACTCCCCCACTTCAACAAGGCAACTTCGTTTGCGCCTCAAACTTGTCTCTGTCTTTTCACATATGGGCTTCGACGGGTCACATGATCTGAACTCTAATAGAAGGTCTACGTTGGATGCCACATGGCTTCAACAGAAGGCGTTCGGTGGGTCAACTGAATCACGTGGGAACCTAGGTGACGATGCATAACGATATCAATTTAAAACATGTCATGATTTACTTTTTTTTTTTATGGTCAGTTACAGGAAGTATTGCCCTTTTAATATGGATGTAGGTTGTTAAATTTTATCTTAATATACAGTTGTTTTTATATTTAAAAAAAGACTTAGTATTTCTAGAATTGTTATTTTAAACTGATGTAGATGTGAAATTTTTCCTACAAATAAACAATTTGAATTTGAGATTATTCACTAGATTTACTCATAATCTTGCAAGCACAAGAAAAGAAAAGAAATCCTAATCGTTCATTTGTGTTTTTTCTGTTTGGATTTTCATTAGAGGTTGGACAATTGAAATTACAAAGGATAAGAAGAATCGTGATTGATTGTGTTCAAGATTCTCAAAGAAATTTGAAAAATTTGCTAAACGTAATATTCTAATCCTGATTGATGTTCGAATCAATTACAAGTGATACGGGTAAAAATCTTGAAATTTAGTTACTATTTGGTTTAGATAAAAATCAAATATTTAATAGATTTTGATAAAATTCGATGTAATTTATATTTCAAAAGTTATGTATCTCAAAAAATGTGATTATAAAAATTTAATGTTGGCTTATTTTTTTAATTTATTATTATAGACATATCAAAGAGACATATCCAACCACCCCCCAAAAAGAATTATTTATAATAATTATTTGGAGAATATGTATTTATAAAGTAAAAAAATTATTGAATTTTTATAAAATTGTTTCATTATGGAAATATATTATTAGGAATGAGTATAAAAAATAATTATTTTAAAAATGAGACTCAAACCTGACATAATAAGGGTGTGTAGGGATGGCAACGGGGCG